TAAGAGTAGGTTAGATAAATGTCTATCAGGGATGGTCTAGTCAGTATTTGGTCCTGCCATGAAGACGGGGGACAACGTACTTTACCCCCAGGTACCTCATTTCATCACATCAGGCCTATTATTTTAGCCATTTATGCTTCCATGTTGTGTGTCCTAAAAAGGTGATGAAACCTACATATAAAGTAGCTGCCTGTGACTCTCCCCTGTGAGACTGTTACCAAAGAAGCGCACTGTGAATCTGCATAGCTTTACATGCATGCACACACCTTGTTCGTTTTCAGAGGGGTTTGCTTTGGTACTGTGCAGGTGACTTATTATGCTTCAGACAACCAATGCTAGATGCATGTGGCTTTGCTGCCTTTGGGAAGGTGAATGTTCTTTTGTCTCTGTGACTAAAAAGTGCCCTGATTCTTAATGGGTATTGAAACGATGTCTATCACCTGACAGATCCAAAATCTTATCTTTGGAGCTCATGCAGAAAACTTTACTTAGTATTAAGAGAGCAGACAGTGGTCACAAGTGCCTTTACAGAGGAGGAAGTGTCAGAGTTTCATGAGCTGGAGAGAATGTGTTGCAGTTCTTCACAGCCAAAGCATAACTTTTACTTCTAAATGGACCTCTTTGGAAATGGCCATTGACTTCATTGTGGCCAGGGCTGCAGCCTTCGTGTTTGTTTTTTGTTAACACCTATTTAACTTCAGTGACTAATGACCATTTTTTGGCAAAGGAGATAATTGTTAAAGATTTAATACCCTGATCCTTTCACAGCATTGCCAACCCCAAGCATTCAAAATTCATGAATCTGGGCCTCCCAAAATCATGAGACTTTAAAAATAATACATTTGTGGCTTCTTTGTTTTTGCCTTCTGGCTTTTGAGCCTTTAGGCTTCACATTTTCAAGCTTTTCTCTGCAGTCACATGGGCTAGAAACTTTAATTGATCAAAATGAAAGCTGGGATTCTCCTGTACTCCCCTGACTCCAGGAGCTGAAGCTTTGACAAAAGCACCAAATTATGAGAGTTAACTGAAGCACCCTTGTCAAGGTGTGTGAGCTCATACTATACATCTTGAGATGCCCCCTACCCATCAACACATCCTCCAGCAAAGCTAGGGAAGACCAAGTAAAACTCAACCAGAGACAAACTGTTTAAAAAACAAAAAAAATCTTTCAGGTTTTGTTAATACAGCAAAAGATGCAAAAAAGGGCATAAACCCAGTTTTTAAAAATCCTTTGCAGGTCACTTTAAAAAAAGCAAAAGAAAAGAGGAAGAGTTTTTAAATAACCTTATTTATCATAAGCAACTGTACCCAGGGAGATGGCTTTGTAATACCAGTAATGATATTTGATAGACTTTTCACCTAAGAGGACATGCTGCTGTGATTTGTGAATTTTCAGGGGAAGAAAGAGAAATTCTTTTGTGCGGTTGACTGTAATAATAATCAAGGGAATTGTACGATATGTGATTCCCATTAACTTTGATTTGAGCCACAAGCATCAACCAAGGGGCGGTGAATTTTCAGATCTCAAACTCTTTAGAGGAAGCTACTTAAGTGAGCAATTGGTGACAGGTTAAAAAAAAAATCAGAGCGAGTGAAAAGGCCTATTGAACCACTGCATCCCATAGATGAGGCATAGAGCTTGTGCTCAAGCCTGCAATTACGTTACAGTTCATTGTCACAGCAGGATCCTGAAGGCATAAGTACTGAGAAGAAAAAGATAAACTGCAGCATAAAATACTGCAAACCAATTGCATTAAGCAACGCTGCTTATTTTGAAGGTGTAATAAAAAGGTAGTTTACTGTTTCTGTTACAAGAAGTAACAAACATTATTTGCATTTATTTCTAGTTTAACAAAGTAAATAAATGCGTATATAATTGTTACAGAAATATTACTATTAAGTTTTCCTGTTGTCATTTTAAATTGGGTTTGGCTTATGTCTGCTTTATTAATTAGGAAAGGGGAGCATATATGCGCACTGACATCTACTATTTAAAATTTATTACCTACCACATTCAGGATTTTTCTATCTGTTGCTTTTGCAATTGGTCCTGCTCACGTAATCCTTTTCTTTTTCCTGGGTCGTGGCTTGCAGAACAAAGAATACAGGCACCTGAATGAGCAGCTCTCTGCACTTACCTCTGCCTATTCCACTGATGTGGAAAAGCTGAAGAAGGAGCTGGAGCAATATCGGCAGAATCGGGGGGATACCAACCAGCTTGTAAACTTGAAAAAAGAGATTGAGAGCCTCAGGCTGGAGCTCGAGAAATCCCACAGTGAAAGGAAGATTATTGAAGACACCTATGATAAGGAGAAAGATCTACTCCGAAAGGTATGTGTTGTGTTTATCGCGTGCCCTCCTTGTGGTGTGAAGGCACCATGGAGGGTAGGCCTTTTTTTTCAGGCAATCAGAGGCAGATGTTTTTGTTAAGAATCTAAGGGTGAGATTTTCAAAAGCACCTATGGGACTTTCAGTGGGAGTAAGGCATCAGACTCTTCAGGGACTTTTGAAAGTCCTGCTTTTTCATCCTTTCACTACATGAAGTCCACTGCTTATCCACACAATGCGGAGAGCAAGTGGCAGTTCAAGCTTCCCTGCCTCTGTGCCTTGACCATGGCCTGGGCATACAGTGTTAGGATGGTGTTTGTATCTGGTCAACTTTGCACAACAATAACTATGAAGAAACCATGTGGGCACAGTTGGGTCCCAAATAACTGTGTTCGCTAACTACACAAACATGCAAGGCCTAGCCACATACGTACGGCTGCTTTGACTGGTTTCTGGTGGCTTCTAAAAGATAGGGCACAGAGAGCACCATTAGTGGGCACACAAAACTGTTTAAAGGATACTATCATGTTCAGACACAGTGTTGGGAGTGACGGCTTGTTCGTTGCACAGGACCATTCAATCTGTGGCTGTGAGACTGCTGATGATGCTGATCATGGTGGTTTTGTGTTGTGGGTACCTGTGCACTAGGAACTGGATTGAGATTGCCAAATCACTTCCCATAAGCAATCAGCCTGCCATTTCTAACAACTCTCAGTACTACCAGCTTCGCTGGATTTGAATCAGTATATTGCACTAGAGGCAGAAGTTGCTTTCTGCCCCGGTATGTCAATACACCTGAGCAATCCATCTTTCTTGAAATTGAAGTTATATAAAATGTTGGCAATATCAAGCCTTTGTACAAGAAAAGCACTGGTGTGAGCAGACACTAGCCTTAAGGGTAAGTCTACACAGCAAACACCTGTGGTTGGCCCAGGTCAGCTGAGTTGGGCTTGGGGCTGTCAAATTGCTATGTAGACATTCAGGCTGGTTTCCATGTTGGGATTGGATGTGAAGAAAGCGTGCTTGTACTAAGCATCCTCTGGGTTTAATTGTAAAGCTTTGGCTGTTTGAGTGATTTGATAATGTGGCTCTCATAGTAAATCATCAAAACTCTACGACTAACGGCTCGTAGGTACAGGGAAATTAACAGGAATAGTTACTGCAGAAAAGCTATCGTGTGGAATAAAGTGACTTTCGTTTCGGAATAGAGTGTCCGCAAAGGAAGCTATTCTGGAATATTCCAAATTGCTATTCCAGTCCATTTCCTTAGGTCATCAAGCCCTAAGCTTTCCCCATAGCAATATTATGGAAACATGGTGAGAAAGGCAGAAATGCATTCTCTTTAGATTTTAGCACAAAAATCACCTGAGAACATTTTTTTCAGTTAGATCAAGTTGATGTGTCCTTTGCTTTCTTGGACTTGTGACAGCTGCCGACATCATCAAGTCCATTTTCATTCCAATTTAACTGCAGAATCTGTTCTTAAGTCTTACTCTTTCTGCTTTTCTCTGCCATCTTCCTACTTTTAGGATAATTCTTCTCATTTATAGGATGAGCATCTCCTTTTCCTTTTCTGGTGTGAATACTTAGAAACAGTTCTTTATGGATTTCAAGAGATTCGTAACAGAGTTATTCGGTGAGTTGTGAGGATTCTCACCAGCTAGCAAAGTTTTGGGGTTTTTTTAGGACAATCCTAACATCTTTTGCCAGTCTAAAGGATCAGTCTTTCAAAAGTGCTCAGCACCCACAATTGGGGCCAGATTTCAAAACAGCTCCCAAATAAGGACCAGATCTTCAAAACTTCTCAGCACCCAACAGCCCCCACCATGCAAATAAGTAAAATAGACAGTTCTCAATGGGAGCTGCTGAATGCTGAGTGCTTCAGAAAATCCAGCCACTTCATGTAGGCAAATATGAGCTGAGCTCTCTTGAAATCTGGCCCAAAAGGAAATGTGTTGAAGATAGAGACTTCCAACTGGAGAAGGAATTTCTGCAGCATTGCTGCCGAATAACATTCTCTACTTATCTACACCTGCATTAAATGGACCTTTCTATTCTCACCACGTTTCTCTGAAACATGAATGTTGATAAGTTCCCATTTCTCTTTCATATGGAAATAAGAAAGCAATAAACAAAACCCATTATGTCTGATATAAAAGAGCTTTAATTTAGGGTTTATCAAGGATAAAGGATAGCTTCTAGCTAAGGATATTTCTTTTTGTTTCTATTCTATACTATTCTTTTCTTTCTCCAATCGAAGTTGGGCCTGAGGCTGCAAAATCTCTATTTTTCCATTCCCAGTGTTTGTGGGTTACTTTCATAACGGGCACATACATAGTACTTTAGCCTTTCGGGAAATATTTTTCACTCAGTTAGCTTTAAAGGTATTTAATGTAAGGCTCTACCATACAATCTGCTCTGTAGCAGAAATTGGAGTTTTCTCCATTTGTTTTTTGTCAGGTATGGCACTGGATACTAGTGTCCTGTAAAAATGTGTAGTTAAAACTAAAACATGCTCCAGTTCTCAAAGTAGAAATACTTAGTTTTTCATAAATTCATAGAATAATAGCATTTGTGATAATCTACTCTGACCTCCTGCATAACACAGACCATAGATCTTCCCTGAACTAATTCATGTTTCAGCTTCCAGTTGTTGGATCTTTTTACACTTTGTCTGCTAGACTGAATAGCCCTCTTAACACATTTCAGTTCCCCATCAAGGTACTTATAGACTGATCAAATTACCCCTTAACCTTCTCCTTGTTAAACTAAGTAGCCTGAGCTCCTCCAATCTAGCACTTATAAGGTATATTATCCAAACCTTTAATCATTCTCATGGCTCTTTTCTGAACCCTCTCCAGTTTATCAACATCTTTCTTGAAGTGTGAACATCAGAACTGGACACATTATTCCAGCAGAGGTCACACCGTTGCTAAATACAGAGGTAAAATAACCTCTCTACTCCTAGCTGATATTCCCATTTATACATCCAAAGATTTGAAATAAAATATTTTAAATACATGAAACTCAAGTTCATATTCTGGTACAGCATAATCATATATTCATCCAGCTCAGACAGTCATTAGTAATTCTGCATGGTTTAGAAAAAGGCTTTTCTTTATTTTATCTCTGTCTCTCTCTCTCTAGTCTGCAGCAGTATCCATTAACGTCAGTACACAGAAAGATAATAGAGCACATAATTAGGAAATCGGTTTGCAACCATCAAGAAGATAATAAGGAGATAGGTAACAGTCAGCATGGATTTCTCAAGAACAAATTGTGTCAAACCAATCTGATAGCTTCCTTTGACAGGGTAACAAGCCTTGTGGATGGGGGGAAGTGGTAGATCTGGTATATCTTGATTTTAGTAAGGCTTTTGATAATGTCTCTCATGGCCTTCTCATAAACAAACTAGGGAAATACAACCTAGATGGAGCTACGTGTAGGTGGGTGCATAACTAGTTGGAAAACCATTCTCAGAGTAGTTATCAGTGGTTCACAGTGAAACTGGAAGGGCATATCTAGTGGGGTTTCTCAGTGATCAGTTCTGGGTCCTGTTCTGTTCAATATCTTCATCAATGATTTAGATAATGGCATAGGGAGTATACTTTTAAAGTTTGCAGATGATACCAAGGTGGGAGGGGTTGCAAGTGCTTTGGAGGATCGGATTAAAATTCAAAATGAGCTGGACAAACTTGAGAAATAGTTTGAAGTAAATAGGATGAAATTCGATAAGGACAAATGCAAAGTGCTCCACTTAGAAAGGAACAATCAGTTGCACACATACAAAATGGGAAATGACTGCCTAGGAAGGAGTACTGTGGAAAAGGATCTGCGGGGGTTATAGTGAATCACAAGCTAAATATGATCGACAGTGTACCACTGGCAAAAAAGAAAACATCATTCTGTGATGTATTAGCAGGAGTGTTGTAAGCAAGACACTAGAAGTAATTCTTCCGCCCTTCTCCACACTGATTAGGCCTCAACTGGAGTATTGTGTCCAGTGCTGAGTGCCACATTTCAGGAAAAATGTGAACAAATTGGAGAAAGTCCAGAGAGAAGCAACAAAAATGATTGAAGGTCTAGAAAATTTGACCTCTGAGGAAAGATTGAAAAAATTGGGTTTGTTCAGTCTGGAGAAGAGAAGACTGAGAGGGGACATGGTAACAGTTTTCAAGTACATGAAAGGTTCTTACAAGAAGGCGGGAGAAAAATTGTTTTCTTTAACCTCTGAGGATAGGACAAGAAGCAATGGGCTTAAATTGCAGCAAGGGCAGTTTAAGTTGGACATTAGGAAAAACTTCCTGTCAGGGTATTTAAGTACTGGACTAAATTGCAGAGGGAAGTTGTGTAATTTCCATCATTTCTGGAGATTTTTAAGAGCAGGTTAGACAAACACCTGTCAGGGATGGTCTAGATAATACTTAGTCCTGCTGTGAGTGCAGGGAACTGGACTAGATGACATCTCGAGATCCCTTCCGGTCCTACAATTCTATGATGCAAACCTGTTATGCATGCAGACATAGCAGAGAGCTGGATGTGGATAGTGATAGCTTGTGAATAGATCGTTATAAAAGATTTGTAAGTTACTGTGCTTGAACACCATAGTGCAAAGCAGGTTGAATTTCTGATTGCATTAGACTGTTCTCTCTGCTTTTACTTCCACTAACAATTTTGGTAACCATTTTTTAAATAAAATTTAATTTTATTAAATTTATTCTGCCTTCTCAGAAAACTGAGGAATTCAATATGAACAAATCAATTAGGCTGCCACTAAAGATACATGGGTTTTAGCAGGATCGTGTCATTATTCTTGCTTGGACAGTGGAAAAACCTTTATTATGCTGTAGTATGGAGCTGGTTTTCTTCAGGCAGCTCAAGATCCCCATATGTTCTGTGCAGCTTATTTTCTAAATTATGATGGTCACGCTATGAACTGCAACGGCAGAGACCTAGCGAATAACATTATACTGGAATACTGTGTTGTTTTGTTCTCTCCTTCCTGGCAACAGTAGAAGTGTTCAACTTAAACAGAGCAATACGTCACACTTCTTAATATAATGTTTTCATGTTTTGACTTGTCTAAACTAATACTATTGAATAAATTAACAGTACCAAGGATAAATAGATTTAGTAGGTAGCGTAATACTACTAGTTTCACTCCAGGAGTTGGTGTCCTACATGATAGTTAGTTTTACTTTTTCTCATGTTTTAAATAGCATTTCTTATAACTTCCATGTTTAATAGGGGCTGTTAGTGCTCAGTCAGTGCAGTAATCAACTATCTGTCAGTTACTGTTGGAGGAGGAGGAGGAATTATTATGATTTATCTTTGTACTACGGTAACGTCTAGAGGCCCTGATCAGGATTGGAACCAATTTGCTAGGTCCTGTAAAAACAGAGTAAAACCGTTCTTATCCCAGAGTGCATATAATCGGAGTATAAAGTTCAATGAGTGGGTATAAACATAAAATTTCAGAGTTTAAAAAGATTTGAAATATGTAGTATTTTGTTTGTCAGTCACTTACATACCCTGGTGATAAGCACAGTATAATGACCTAGACAGACACATCACCTGGAAAATTTAAATTTTCCGCATAGTCTTTTTTGTCTGAGAACATTTTCTTTCTCTTTATTTTGCCTGTAAATCCCCTGTTAATTGGCAGGTGCGCTGAAATGCTGTTATAGCTGGTAACACATCTGCTTGGACAGTTGGCTATCCAATCCTGTATAGCATTCTGGTTTCATTTATATTGTACATCACTTTTTTTTTCATTCTTTTTAGAATATTCAGAACAATGGTGTACTTTTTCTCCTCTGTTTGTTCCTTTTCTCTGTTCCTTTTCACCTTTCTGAACCCTTTCACAGCTGCACTATTGATACTTTGTCTCTAACACATGTCATGGTGTTGTTTTCTTTCACATTCCCAGTCCTGTAATTGTAACACCTGCAAATGGCATTTGCGCTGCCATAGAAATCTATACCTAGCAAATGCCTGTGTTGTGATACTGTGTAGTAGAAGGATCAATTGCAGAATATTGTAACAAAGTCAATGTTGTAATTTTTAAGAGAGGTATAGATCTTCAGTACTTAATTTTGAGCCTGGGCTTCTCAGTATTTGGATGACATAATCAACTATTGGAGCCCTGTGACTAGTATGTATTGTGTTCCTATTCAAAGAAATAGATATAATTTGCCAACTTGACCTTTTTTGCATTGAGGTTTTGCAGTAAACACTAGTGTCTATGGGACAATTTACTTTGAAAATAAACACCCTTCAGTTGCAGTTAATATCTTTTTTTACCATTCATGCTCCTGATGCAGTGAGAATAGCTCCAAAATGGCAAGGAGAAAAAAAACCCTGTTTGGTTTAAAAAAACAAACAAACAAGAAACTATACCAACCAAAAAAACCAACCAAAAAACGTACGTGTGTGTGTGTGTGTGTGTGTGTGTGTGAGAGTGAGTGAGTGAGTGAGTGAAACTTATTCCCCTGAAGAGAGCCTGACCTTGAGCTGGCCTACACTACAAGAGGTATTACTTTGCCTTGTTTCTTCCTTAGCGCGTATCAGACCTAGAAGCGGAGAATGCTCTTTTGAAACAGGAAAAAGAGGAGCTTAACAACAGAATCCTATGTCAGTCTGAAGGTAAGAAGAATGGTTTATACTTCATAACACTTGTAATAAACCGAGGATTAAGCTGTTTTTCATAAAATTAGTTTCTCCCATATGCCCCAGCAATAGCTCATAAACTGAAATGTGCTAATCTTCCAGCATCCTTTATTTCTTTGACAATGTTTGTTGTTATTCAACAGTTCTATTCTCTCTGTACTGCCAGGGGATAAGACAAGACATGAACCTGATTTAATCAGGGAGGGATTAAACACGGAATATAGTACCTAAAGGGGTTTTCCATTCAATTACATCTTAGAATTTCATCAGGATGACGGTGATGGGGGGGACAACCCTTTAATGCTGACAGATGGGAGCCTAGAAGCAGAGATGTTCAAACAGTAATATTTGGACAATGATGAATGGCATCTTGAATGTGACAGAATGAAGTGAAATTTTAAAGCAGAGATTTAGATTGTGAGAGAACTACAGAGGGAAACAAACTGGAAAGTCCCAGGACATGAAAGGAATACATTCCACCCTTGCATGTATTGTGCTTATTATCAGACTCTATTCAGCTTAACATAGCAAAATATATTGGCTTCAATTAGAGGTGAATTTTTGAGTGCCTTTCGGCAGGCACTAGCTAGCATTAGGCATAATGCATGCCGGGCTCTGTGGAAGCTTCCCAGTGGACCCCTGTCCAGGCACTTCAGTCCTGACTGACTGCCAGCTATCCCAGGACTTAGATTTTCAAAAATTAAACTCCTAAAACCTAAACAAGACACTTGATTTTTTCAAGTGCTGAGCACCCAGAATCTCCTGTTGAAGTAGACAGGAATCGCCGAGTGCGCAGCACTCTTGAAAATCAATCCACTTATTTAGGCACCTGAACTACTTGGTCAATATTTAACTTTAGACACATCCATATTTGGAAATGTTGACCTCTATTTAGAGCAGACTGAGATTTGAACCCAGCACACTGACCATTTACCCTCTTTAGAGTGGTATCTTTAAGCACAGCTATAACTAGTGTTGAGAGAGCATTAATATTAGAAACATTAGAGCTGCTTGGAATTTTTCAAATTTTGAAATTTGGATGAAATTTCAATTTTTAAAAAAAGAATTACTGAGAGTCTCCGCTCAGCTCCCATTGCAGTAAATGAGAACACGTCCATTGAACGGGAGAAGAGCTAGGCTGACCCTGAGCACTTTTACACATCCCAACCTTATTTTCTGAAGATTATTGTAGAAATGGAAAGTGCTATTAGGTCACCCAGTCCATCTCCTTTCCAGTGTAGGATTGTTGTTATGAGGCTCTATCCTACACCGTTCAAACCATTGATTTCAGGAGCAGGCCCATAATCCCTTGCAAAGTGAAACTTGCCACGAATGTTCCCTATCTGTGAGTGAATGTTTCCACTATGTAAAAGCTTGAGAAAAGTTAGTTTAGTTGTTGTTGTTTTAATTTAAATGTTAATTTAATGTTTGGCTAAATAAAAAATAAATGGTAATTTGACTTACCAGTTTTAATTTTTTTTCTTCTTCAAATAACAGGGGGAAACCAATTTTGTTTCAGAATAGAGTTCTTTTAAATCACATGCAAAAATAAACTATTTTAAAATGCCCATGGTATTCTGTGCAGTAGAAAAGGATTAACATTTTTGGGAAGTACAGATAGCAAAGACTGTGTTGTACAGAGTAATCCTGCACTACCAGAGCTCTGTATTAAGGGGATTCTTTCTCTCTTCCCCCATCACCTCTAGTTTGGTTACCTCTTTGTAGTCATCAACAGTATGCAATAGTATGATTGCATAGATTTCCCACTTGACATCCAACATTGGTAAATCAGGTATTTCCATAGAGTAATATGGCTAATATGTATGCACCACTGCCCTCTATTGGATACAATCACACTGCTCGTTTGCGCATCAGAGACGTATTTCTAATAGCTAAAGGAGATTATCCTTTACTCAACTGGTAGAGATCTCTGGTTTTGGAGCCAGGAGTATTGGGGATCTATTCTACCTGCATCCATGAAATTCCAAATAGCTGTTCTGTGCAGTGTGGTGACAACCATGAAATTCCTAGCTGGCCACAGATTTGTTACAGTGTATTCACTAAATAAGAGTGCAAGATTACAAAAAAGCCTCTTAGCAGAGAGCATTTTGTTGAACTATAAATCATATTGCAGTTGCCTGTAAGAAATCAATTCAGAACTGAACATCACAGTTCAATATGTATCTTTTAAAGATGAATTTGCCCAAACCACTGTCAAGGAAAATCTCCTGACGAAGAAGGAGCTGGAAGAGGAGCGATCTCGTTATCAGAACCTGGTAAAGGAGTATTCAAGGCTGGAGCAGAGATATGACAATTTGAGGGATGAGATGACTATTATAAAGGTAATGGAAGAAGCTTTTTACATTACCCCTCCCCTCTGATGTCCTGTGTGTATTATTGGTAACTGGATAATGCAACTGAATTCATTGGATGACAACAAAGCTATTCTAGAACTCATTTGTGTTGATATTTCTAAGGGGGAAGTTATGCATTGATATTAGACCAAGAGCAACTTCTTCTGGAAATACATGGTTTTCTGTAGCCACTTGGTCACGCATTTACAGATTCCTTATGAACAGCAAGGCAAAAATCTGTTTATCTTTTCTCTATTTCAGTATCACAGATATACTCTGTTTTTCAATTCTAAGAAAATCATTGTGGCGTTATAAATATAAAAGTCTAAGTTTTAGATTCAGCCTTGCTAGAGTTTTAGCAATAGCTTCATTGATAATTAGTTATTAAGGGATGCTGTCATCCAGTTCAAAGGCTGAACATTTTAAAAGAAAACCATAAGGATATTGTGATAAATATTAGGCTCCAAACCCAGATGTGTGTGTCCAAACTTCACAAATTGT